ATAAATGAAGGGCAAATTCTATGTACTTCGCTTTTTATAAAAAGATGTGATTTGGTATTCTTTTGTGGAAGATTAAACACAAGACTATAATGTTTCTTTTCTTTTTGTTGTTTTGGTGGGAAAAAGATGTTCTTTAAAATGAAAAATCACCCTTTTAAATTTAGGTTAAATTCTCATTTTGATCCCTAAACTATTGTATGGACCCCTGATTTGATTTTTAAACTAAAGAAATCCCTAATTTAGTCTTTAAACTATTGTACGGACCCCGATTTAGTCCCATTGTTTATAATTTGGCTTAAGTTGGTCCTTGAACTATTGTACGGACCCTCAATTTGGTCTTTACTGTTCACAATTTCACCCCAATTTGGTCTTTACTGTTTACAATTTCACCCCAATTTGGTCCCTGAGCTATTATTTAACAGAAGGATCAAGTTGTGGTTAAATTGGTAAACAGTAGGGATCAAATTAGGTATCCGTACAATAGTTTAGGGACTAACTTGGGAGTTCGTATAATAGTTTAGGGACCAACTTAGGGTCCGTACAATAGTTCAAGAACCAAATTAAGGATTTTTTTTAGTTCAAGGACCAAATCGAGGGTCCGTAAAATTGGAAAACAGTAGTGATCAAATTAGACATCTGTACAATAGTTTAGGAATTAACTTGGGAGTCCGTACAATAGTTTAGGGACCAACTCAGGGTCTGTACAATAGTTTAGGGACCAACTCAGGGTCTGTACAATAGTTTAAGAACCAAATTAAAGATTTTTTTAATTCATGAACCAAATCAAGAGGTTCATACAATAGTTCAGAAATCAAAATAGAAATTTAACCTTAAATTTAAGCTAGTCTTTTAAAAGTTGAAATAACAGAAATAATAGTTTTGTTTTTCGGCCAACAGAAATAATTGGGTAGGTTTCACGGTACACATTCCTATCTTCTTCTCTTAATTGTTTCGTGCAATAATGAACCTGCTATAGATGGCCCCCACAAAGCATCGGTTACAGCTAAACAAGAGCCTGAGATTAGAAAATTTAATGCTAATAAAGAAAAGCTAGAGTGTGACAGTTAAGCAAGTTGTCTTACTTCGGTGGATAGACATTTTGGAAAAGGAATATACATAAAATATATAACAAGTACAGCAACTAACATTAAGGACGGACGACAAAAAAAAAAAAAAAAAGAGAGTTAAAACTCCCTTTTGATCTTTCTAGTTTAACAAAAAGCTTATTTTTAATCCTTATACTTAAAAAAGTTTATTTTTATTCCTAACATTTGAAATCTAACCTCATTTTTAGTCCTTCTATTCAGTTTTAGTTGATGTGGTATGTTAACTAACAAAAAAAAACTTATTTTTTACTTTACTTAAATTACGTAGAAAAATCCATTAGGTAAAAGCTAATGATATGACCAAATTTTTAGTCAAATATAATTTTGAAAATTATTTAATTATATAATTATCATTATAAATATTTTAATAATTATTTTGTGATTAGGAGTACTTGACTTTAATTACCTATTTGGTCGCATCTTCTTCACCCTTCTATCTTTACCTCTCCTTTCTCCGGCCTTCTTTTTTTTATTTTTTTTACCTTTTGCCGTATTTATGGGTTGTAGATGATGGAAATATGAAACCAAATCTAGGTTCTTTGCAAACCTAGGCATTGGGTTCATTGCGAACCCTAAGCATTAGGTTCATTGCGACCCCAAGTGCTAGGTTCGTCAACGCACGCATTCACATGAATGAGGTATGGGCTTTTGAAGTATATATTGAATATTCTGGTGGGCCTATATTAGATGTCAAAACAAAACTTCAAGTCCTTGAATCAAATCTTCAAAAGGGTGTAGTAGACAAAAAATTAGAATAGAATTCAGTTGGAAATGTATCTCCAAAACTACTTGAAGGATTTGAATATTTAGGAAAGCATTTGAATTTTTCTGAAGGGACTTTTGATGTGCATGAGCAAACAAATGAAATCTAGCATAGAGTTGGTTAGTATGCAAACCTTATAATTTTAGTGTGGTTGATAATTGTTGTTGTTTCTGTTGTAGCTTTTCCATTATTCACCATTCTTATCGTTACTTTCAATTTTGTTTTTATTTTTTTTTTCTTGTTATTATCATATATTTTGTAATAGTATTAGTGTATAATGTTGTGGATGGTTAACCCCAAGCATGGCGCTGGGTTCATCGCGAAACCTTAGCACAATGTTTGGTTGGGTTTGTAGTGTGATCATTTTTTGTTTAGATCTTTAATTATGTGAAATTGTTGATTTGAGTATTTGTTTTTTTTCTTGATTTGGGATGTCTGCATGGGAGAAGGGTTGAATGATGAATAAGGATGGTTAAGATTAATTTTGAAATTTTAGTTTTTATAAATTACGTGTTATGTTCAATATCTACATGGGATGCCACATCATCATTTTTTACTTTTGTATTTTTCATGTCATTTATACAAAAAAAAAAATCAGACAATTTTGTTAATTAATATGCTACATTAGTCAAAACTTAATTGAAAGACTAAAAATGAATTAATTAGATTTCAATTTTTAAGGACTAAAAAAGAGTTTTTATAAGTATAAAAACTAAAAAGAAGCTGTTTATTACAGTAGAGGACCAAAAAGATTAAAAAAAAAAAACTAACATTAAGGACTAAAAACCCAAACTGCAAGTTGTTTTTTAATAATTTGCAGCATTTTATTAAGAGGAATCTTTCTCAACCAAAAGCAGACGGTCTCCAATGACTGCAGCCACTCCCAACTCCCTTTTTCTAAAAAATTTGAGCCCTTATATGCGCATTGACCGAAGATAAGAGACTGAAAATTCAAAGTTCCAACCCACTTTACTGACTTTGAAATATTAGAACACTTTGCCCTCATTAGTGTGATCGTCACTAGTTTAGCTTTATAGAAATGATTTGTTTTTAATACATTTGATGGTAAATTATATATTATAAGATGTTTTTTCGTTTCTTTAACTTCTTTTATTTATATAAAAACTTAAATTTATAATTTATAATTTATAATTTTGAGGTGTGACCTGACAACTTAATAAAAACATATAATTTTTTTCAGCAAAAGCTTTATGGAAAATGTTTATTCCATGGAAAAATGAGCTTAATCCGAGTAACAAAAGGGTTCCAACTTTTATTATTATTTTTTTCTGTTTCCCTTTTGGATGTGTGAAAGAGGTCATGATTCTGTGTGAAGCTTTGGTTGCATTGCATTTCATGTCATTGCCGACGCCATTTATGATTCACCCTTCTCATAAAATCCCAGTCAGGATTTGGATATCAAACAGTACTAAATAGTATTAATAAATTTTGTTGCAATTTATTATTATTGTTATTATTACAGACCTGCGACATCCAACAAACCTTGTCAGGTTGGTTCTGACAATTACAAGAAGAACATAACTAAATCTCAATCTTACAGAAACCATGTGATGTTTCCAGTTGAAAAATTTATGCACTAACATAACTTGTGCTCCTCATAATTACGCTTTTATGCAAAAGCATGAGCCATACTGCCAAAGCCCATTTCAATCTGCCATGACCCATGAGGCCTGGCCCAAAATTCACATGACATTACCAGTGTGATCATTTGCCTCGATTTCTGTGAGCCCATGGAGATTCCTGTTACGAGACGAGAAAAGAGGAATATTTTGTTTTGTGAGATAAGAATAGGAGTATTTTTTTCTTGTGAAATTTTATGGGAATTTTTTTTCACCTTGTGGGACTTTGTGAGAATCCTGCAAAAAAATTAAAAGAATTTATAAATTAATTTTATTTTAAATTTAATTCAATTTTCAGACTCAAATTTAAATCAATAAAAATTAAATTTAATCCAATTTTATTTAACCCAACCCAATTCAACCCATGAAAATTAACCTAACCCATTATCAATAAATTTATTGATTTAGCTATTTATGTTGAATTGATCTTTATTTATATCTGAATAATTTATATTTGATTTATATTTTTAAAAAAATTAGTTAATTATACTTAAAATTTTAAAATTTTAATCATTATAATTGAATATTAATTAATTATATAAAAAAATATATTTTGATATTAACTGATGAGAAAAAAAAATACCCACACGAAACGGGGATAGGGACAAAATTTGCTCCTCATCAAAAATTTCCGCAATGATCTCCATCCCTGCGAATGAAGAGAGACTCCTTAACCTCGTAAGACCTCGTTAACATCCTTAATTACCACTCCAAGTTGATCCGGATCCAAAAGCATACAGATCGTTTGTTATGTGAGAGCATGGAGATATCAACATCAATGAAAACTTGAACGAGTTTTGACTTATAAAATCTTGACGCAAAATCAAGTTCAAAGGCTAAAACCTCTGTGATATCAACTAACTCATCCTTCGATTAAAAAAAAGGAACGAGTATCGAGATTAGAAGCATCTGTGCGTGGCTAAGAAAAAATTTCACATATCATACATAGGGAAGTTGTATGGCTACATGTAACTTGAAGAATCAGAGCACTTGAGACCAAAGAAACAAAGGGGTTCCTATATAATACAATTTTATGACACAGTTACTATTAGTTTAGCAGACTAGGTAAGTCAATCTCAGAGGCCTAAAAGTTGTATACACAGGTTCCATCATCACTTCTGGCAGTTGGGTCATAGTTTGTTGCCGATGGATCAGTGCAGCCTTCTGGGATGGGAACTTTAACCTGCTGTGCTGCTTTGCCTGCATTCAAATAAGTTAGAAACTCATAAATAGATGTACTATGGACCTCCTAAGATCCCATTAAAGCCTTAAGGATCAAGGGACTAACCATAGAAGCTTCCATTTTTCACAGCATCTTCATTAGCATCTCCAAGAGCTGCCTCTTTCAAGTACTTATCAGCTAGTTGCACTCTCTTTACATTATCCTGTTCTTGGACAAGCATGTTTCCATACTCAAGCAACTTCCCAATAGTCATTTTTGGCTGCTCAAATGTTGGAGGTCCTTCCTTTGAATTCACTAGTCTTTTCCCAACATTTTGCACTCCAATTTCTGCAATCCATTTCCTTACTTCATCATCGTATACTCTTGCTCTCAATGCACCAAAGAAATCTAAAAGAAACACAAATATGTTAGTAATTTTTCTATCTGCATCATTTCTAAACCAAATAAGGAGATATTCTGAAGGTAATAAGTTTTAGGCTTACCAATAGATTGGCCGGGGAAAGTGTCAACAAGCTTGATAACGTCCTCCTTGGGAACATTGTCAGTCCTGAAGATACCAGTGCACACACCAATCCTATCTTCCCGAGTAGGAGCCCAATAGAATTTCTCCATACGACCATCACGGATTAGAGGGGCATACAAAGTGGAGAAATCATTACCTGTAACTATGATGGGAACACGGGGATTCTCCTCCTGGTTGTACTGTCCGGGAAGCTGGACATTTGTTGGGTTATCAGCTATGTTCATGAGGGTAGCATTCACCATTTGATTGTTGACCGTGTACTGGGTGGTTCCACCCATCCTACCAGCACCTGCATCAAGATCATTGATAAAGAGGCAGCACATCTTTCCCTTCCTAATTATGTCTGCGGCCTCACGATACCTTTGCCTAATCAGTTTTGCAGGCTCTCCGGCATTCCCACTTTCCAATTCACCAGCACTCATCACAATGGGACTGAACATTGCACCACCAGTCACCACACATCAAAGAGTAAGAATCACACATGTATAAATTAATGAATATCCTCAGAACTTTATAACTTCTTTTGAAGACAGTTTCTAACTCACTTGATTCCCATCTTGGCAAAGACAAGCTCACATTGGAACGATTTCCCTTGACCTTTACCTCCCCAAATACCCAAGATAAGAGGAACCTGGCAAAATCAATTATTGATGATCAATTAAATGATGTACTCAATATAGATTAGAAATCTCAAGGGATTCATTCATTAAAATTCAACAAACCTTAATGTTTGGTAGGCTCAAGAAATTCTTTGTGATGTGAACAACAATCTTGTCCATGAATGCGGGAGCAATGTAGTATCCATCCATATTGTTGTCCCAGTTGAACCTAAAGACTTTAAATTTAGCAATTCCACTACCAAAAACTCATTATCAACTTCCAAATTCTTTGGCTACTTACGTGCGGAGGCCTTGACTGATGTAGTCATGTGAACTCATGACTGCATAATGAGTTCCAGAATTCATTGGGGCCTGGAAAAGGGTGTCCACCATTCCCTTTCCTCTTGTAATATCCTGCTGGTCATCAGACATGTCATGGGCAAGTCCCTTCCATCTGTCCTTTGAGGTCTGTTTTTGCTCATCATATTCCGCTGCAACCTTGAAATTCTTAGCAAGAATCCTCTGGCGGTTAATTTTTGAGCCCACCTTCTTCAGGCTGTTTCCCAGGAATGCTGAGCTTGGTACTGATGTACTAGCACCATACCCATTCAAGTTAAACTGCACCAAAAATAATCTCCGCTTTACTCCAAAGCAATATTGTAATGGAACTACTACAAATCCCATTTCCATAGTCAAAATTAAACACATAGAACAAAAGATAAGGCCTCAAAGTGGACTACTTCCAACTGATTTTCTTCTGATTTCTCTATAAACTAGTAACAAAATTCAATAGTTGGACACAAAATTGAACGTCAAGCAAGAAACTGAATTACCCATTTTTCTTTGTTAGAAAAGTTAGATGCTTAGCATTCCTAGAGATTTAAATCCCTTATCATCGACCTCAAATCAAGGTTTTCATAGTGTGTGATGGAGTATCAACTCAGCTAAACTCTTATAGTTAGAGAGCTAGAAATGTTAGGTGCTTAGCATTACCCGAAAAGTTGTCGAGTGAACTGTGTTATCAATGAAACATAATTAAAGCAATAGAATCACAGATTAATACTATAAGTTCATGAACTATGGAACTTTCACGTTAATAACTAAGATAGAAGCAAATTAGGCGGGAAAAATAGAGTACCCTGTTAACGGTTCCGACGGTAGAGACAGTGGCGGCCATGATCCGACGGTGGCGATCAGAACAAGAGAGGTGCAAAAGAAGACGAAAATGGAATTGATGAATTAAAACAGCTTTTGGAGTGTTGTTGTTTGAGATGAGATAGGAAAAGGGGTTGTTGGAATTTATAGAGAGAGGGAGGGGGGCCTTTGGAGTGCGGGAGAAAGAGCAGTGGAAAAAATATCTTGCGGACTAGCTTGGGGAATTGTTTAGGGCCACACAATGCTGATTTTGGAAGTAATATTAGGTGGCCATGGTGAGGTGGACGTTAGTTTTGGAGGATTGTTGGGTCTGGAGGGTTGGAAACTGTTGCTTTGGGTTCAAACAAAATGGAGGGTTCTCGGAACAGGGTCAGGGTTTGAGGTTAGGGTTTAAGTTTAAGATTCTCTCTACTCCACTTAAAATTAGTAGGTAATTTTGTTATTTTAATTTTTATTCCAATAAAAATAGAAAATTTTAATTTTTATCATGAATACATGATAATGCTAGTTTAGTTAAATTTCTTTTTTTTTTTAAATTAAAAAAATTTAAACAATCAAAATATTTTCATATCAATTTTTATGCATATTGAGATTAATATTTTTTAAAATAATTTTAAAGATATAAAATATATGATTTTAAATGTAACTTAGAAGATGACACTTACTGATTGATGCTTTCTATTTAATATAATGTAAAATATATTGAGACAGGAATGTCAATTTTGCATTCATGTTATGGGTTGTAGGATACTAGCATTTTCTACTCTATCTCCCTTCCTTTTTTTTTTCTATGAGACACAGTTGGGATGAATAGGCTGGATCCAAATGTGATTCAGCTTTAATCGTCGTCTAGGTTCGGCCCAGCTCGGCATATCCAATATTGCAAATTCCTTGTCCATTCGGACCATTGTTCCAAGAGAAGAGTCAATGTGAATGTGCAAACAAATTTCTCATCCGTAGTAGCCATCAATCAAGGTTATTACTTTTAACTTTATTAGTTTATATTTTTTAATAATTAATTATAATATTTAAAAATATATAAAATCTTCATTAAATTAAATATTAAACACATAGTAAAAATTTTTTTTTTTTTTTTTTAAACAAATTACAATCAAACCTATACCAAGGGAAGTGAGGAAGAGGATCACCGGTTTCAAACTTTCAACATGGCAATATATTCCCACCAAGCCAAGTGGAAATCCACTGGCCCCCATGTGTGCGGAACAAAAAGGAAATTTTTTTTTTTTTTTTTTTTTGAAGGAACAAAGGGAAAGTGGATTTGGTTGGTGAGGAAAACGGGGATCCGATGATAGAGGAAGGGGCTAAAGTATGTTTCTTGAAGTTTTTAGTTTTTTTATTTTATATTATAAAATTTTTTTTTTGTTAAACTGAAAATTTTAAAAGTTTTAATTTTTTAATTAAATTAATAAAATCTATTAAGTTTTTGTTTAAATGAAAATAAAATATTTATGAAATAAGTTTTTAAAGATTAAAAAATATAATAATTTAAT